CCCGAACCTGTGGCACATCATATTGCAACAGTTCATTAATCAGTAACTGCGAGTCCTCTAAGTTACGTGGCTCACTATGCAATGACGTAGGGAGATCTACGTCAAAATCTTGGCCTTTCGAGGGGGATAGCGTGATTAACATAAATAGCCCTTAATTAATCTGTTTCTGCCATTAAGCTTTCGTACTTAAGCATCAGCTGTTCTTCTGTTTCTTCATTTTTAGGGTCTTTTGGGATGCAATCTACGGGGCATACTTCAACGCACTGCGGCTCATCATAATGCCCAACACATTCAGTACATTTATCTTTGTCGATTTCGTAAATTTCATCGCCCATGAAGATCGCTTCATTAGGGCACTCTGGCTCACACACATCGCAGTTGATACATTCATCAGTAATATATAAAGACATTAAGCTGTCTCCTTTTTTAAATTAGTATTGGCTAATATTAGCAGTCCTATGTAAAAAACACAGTAACCAATGTCTTTATGGGGTTTAGTGCGCTAAAAACGAGTCATATTTTTAAAGCTTTTATTTCTGTGCCGATGCTAATGCCGCATAAACTAGCGGATGCACGTATTTTTCATATCGCCGCCCAAGCGCGCCACTTCTTTCACTAGGGAGGAGGAGATGAAGGCGTATTGTTCTGCGGGCATCAGGTAAACGGATTCAATATCGGGGGCAAGGTGGCGGTTCATACTGGCTAATTGAAATTCATATTCAAAGTCGGCTACTGCACGTAAACCCCTCACCAGCACCTTTGCATCTTGTTGCTTAGCAAAATCCACTAACAAACAATCAAAACCAAGCACTTCAATCTTAGGGTTGTCCGCAAACACTCCCTTCGCTAAATCAATTCGCTGCTCCAAACTAAACAGGGGGTTTTTCCGCTGACTATCAGCGATAGCAACGATTACCTTATCAAACATTTTGCTGGCACGATGCATCAGATCACTATGCCCATTGGTAATGGGGTCGAAAGTACCAGGATAAAGTGCGGTTACGGAAGTCATCTCTATGCTTCTATGCTCATAATACCATCCACTTCTACTTCAGCGCCCTTGGGTAAAGCCGCGACGCCAATGGCCGCACGCGCAGGGTAAGGCTGAGAGAAAGTTTCTGCCATCACCTCATTAACGGCAGCGAAGTTGCTGAGATCCGTCAAGAAAACATTCACCTTGGCAAAGTCATTGAGCGTACCGCCTGCCGCTTCCGCAACCGCCGCTAGATTACGGAAGATTTGACGCGTTTGCTCGGCAATATCACCCTCGACAAGTTGCATCGTTTCAGGAACTAGGGGGATTTGCCCTGACAAATAAACAATGCTGCCCACTTTAACCGCTTGTGAATAAGGGCCAATGGCTTGGGGGGCTTTATCAGTTGAAATAATTTCTCTGCTCATAGAATTAACTCGATGAAGTTCTTTAGTTATAGTAGGTGATGATTTCTTAGAAGGCTCTTGCAACGCTGATGACGTCAGAAAGATTGCTTAGACCTCGGATGATTTCTTGTAAGCGAATAGTATCTTTCACTTGTAATAAAAAGTACATTTCTTTTACTTCGCTATCTCCGGTGATGGTTAAGTCTTCTATATTAACTTCCATCTTGCTGAGTAAATTCGTTATTTTTAATAATACACCGTAGTGATTATTAACAAATATCTTCAAAGGTGCGAGAAATAATTGTTTAGTGTTTTCTTTCCAAGCAAGGCTAAATGTATCTTCTCTCGATTGCGCAAGCGTAGTACAAGCAACACGGTGAACCGCCAATCCAACGTCCTTATCCAACATCGCTACCAAAGTATCACCCGGGATAGGGTGACAACAGCTTTGTAATTGTAGTGCTAAACCTTCCGTACTTTTAATGATTAACGGTGTGTCTATGGACTCATCATTTTTAATTAAATCCGCTTGTTTGCCTATTAAA